AAGCGAGACCATAAATGATTTCAGAATTTTCTCTTCTCTCTTCTCCTTTCAAGTAACTTTGGGCATTTCCCCAAGTTCAGTACACAGTTCACAACAGTTCACATTACACTGTTCTCACTCTCTCCTCAGAAAAGTCACCTCTTTCAGTAGCTTTATTGATCAACTGCTTGGGGACAGACATCAGCTAACTCTCCTAGCTGGATGTACATTCAAATGTGCATTCTTTTCTAAGAGGTTAAGAAGAAAATCTGTGTGAGGAAATAATAAAGGGATAAATTTCTGTTCAATAAAAGAAAATAAATTATCATTTGGAGTAACTAGTTATGAATGGACAAAACAGTTTGTTTTATCAGTGAAGGGACTGGAGTTATAGTAGCACACATGGCCATCCGGCCTGAATGAATAGAAGAGAAGACATAAACACTGAAGGTATAAGACCACTGGATACAAGGCAAGTAAAAGTAAGCCACAGGACTGAGTCACAATGGGAGAGGCAAAGTTAAACATTGTCAATTGGAGGTCATGAAAAAATAGTGAAGTAGAAATGTAAAAAGAGGAAGTTAAATATGGGGCACCTGAGCCCAAAGCCATCAGGTATCAGCAGATAAGTCCCCAAGGAGCTCAAGGAAGTGGACCAGACAATCAGAGCTGTCTGCATGGGGTTTCCCACAAGTCAACGCATTTTGCCTTATGGTGTGTTAAAAACACCTCTTGGCAACCAACACAGACCTGGGGATGTCATCCTTATATTTAAAATAGTAACAAAGACCTCAAAAAAAATGGTCAATTATTCCAGAATAAAGGACAAATTCCACAGCCAGAGATGCAGACTTATCACACTTACTTTGTGTTTCCCCCCTTTGTATTGTTACTCTTATTACGTCATTACTGAACATTCCAATCACCCATCTGAAATTAAGGTCCTATCCAGCCATCAAAGTTCAGTTCAATTGAAATTATTTCCAAAATTCCTTCCTGTATGTCTCTAGTCAGAGTTAATTATGTCTCTGACCCTCAACCACAACATAAGACTTAGATTATGCTTTTGATCAAAGCATGATGACTAAGGCATAATTTACCATGAAACACCTTAATTTATA